AACCACCCCACACACACCTCCACCCTGCCTGAAAACACCCACACACAGCAAAACCATGCATATGGTCACTAATACACACACAGGCCTTCTTAGAACTTAGTCCAGAGCATATTCAGACAAACAGAATCATATGCACACAGACAGACAAACAAGTAAACAGGAAAAGTTTTGGGTTTAAGTCACTTATGCTCAACAAGGCTGCATTTATTTGAAAACCTGTAAAATTAGTAATTTTGTGAAATATTATTACAATTTAAAATAACTGCGTTCTTTTTTAAAATATTTTTAAATGTATTTTATTCCTGTGATGGCAAAGCTGAATTAGTCTTCAGTCTTCTAATATGCTGATTTGCTGCTCAAGAAACATTTCTTATTATTACCAGTGTTGAAAACAGTTATGCTGCTTAATATTTTGGTGATACATTTTTTCAGGATTCTTTGAGGAATACAAAAGAACAGCATTTATTTGAAATTGAAAGCTTTTGTAATATTATTTGTCTTTGCTGACACTTTATCAAGTTGATGCATCCTTGCTGAATAAAAGTATGAATTCCTTTAAAAAACATACTGACCCCAAAATGTTAATTGGTAGTACATATTGTAGAATATGTTTATATTTGAGAGGGAATTGAGAATACTTCACTGAATAGAAGAAATGCAGAGAGCAACATCATTCAGTAAAATCTTTAGTTCTCTGGGTTTTTAAGTGGTCAAGGACAGGACATCTCACCTTAAAAGACTCCAGCAGCCCTCCATGACCTCCATTTTCTAGCTTTTCTTCATCTGTAGTTGATCCCAGTCCTACTGTGGCCTGTGTCTGTCTGTGCAGTTCATCGTGAAGGTTATCTAACAGTGCTGCCCGTGTCCTCTCCTGTCACACACACACACACACACAGAACGACAGATGATGATGCAGATAGGCTAATTAAAGCAATGGTTCACCCCAAAATGAAAACACATTAGTAAATAATGATAGAATATTAATATTTTGGGGGATTATTCCTCCAAATTAATTGTTTATAGTGAATCATGGATCTCTGGATTTTTTTCTCACCTCTAGCTTGGCGAACTTGTCTGACTTGCAGCATGCATTTTCTGCGTTGATCAATTTTGTCAGGAGAAATTCCCGGAACTCGGGACCCTGGGAAAAAGTTGATCTCCATCATCTTATGATACAAATCATCATCTCCTTCGACATTTAACAGAAGCGATCTTCTATATTACCTTCTTAAAGACCGCAGGGTTTGGAAGAGGGGGGCCGAACGGAGGGACATCTTCTCTGGCTGTGACGGACACCTGTGAACACCGATCGATACCACAGATCAGTGGGATTGATGGGATTGATGGGTCTCTGGAGTAACTCAGTGAGGTGTTTGACAAACCTTGTACGTGGTGTGATCAGTGCAGGGGTTTTCTGCCTGCACTAACACGTAGGCATGAAGGAAGTTGGATGCGATCATATCAGGAACGAATGGTGTGGGCTCTTCCTGGAAGACGGCTGCGACAATGTCATTGCCAATATGTCTCTTCCTCTGGAGCTGAGAGAATATGACACAAGCGGAAAATATTTATAAATATTTTAAATGTAATGGATTTGCCAACACAATTTATAGTCAAGATAAACATACAGGGATTATATTTAAATATAGTTTATTTTATTTTATTTTAATTTTTCAATTTGAAATTAATGAATTATGAATTAATTTATTTGTTTGCAATGTGAATTTCATTAAGTACATTTCTCCCTAATTTTCATTTTATCTCCATAAAAGGGTTAGGGTTAACACAAAATATAAATAAATAAATAAATAAATCATGGTAGTATCTTACTTAATTCTTTGATTAATAAAAATGTATCAAAAAATGGATAAATAAAAAACACTGTGTTTAGAATTGCAGTCAGGAAAATTTGATATATATTTTATGTCTATTACAGCAATTTAGATTTTGTACATTTCTCCCTATTTTTCATTTCATCTCCACAATTTTCATTATTCATCTCTTTACCGTTGGGTTAGGGTTAACACAAATAAACAAACAAACAAATAAATAAACAAATAAATAATGGTAGTATCTTAATTCATTCTTTGATTAATAAAAATTTATCAAAGAATTGATTAATAAAAAATGTGTTTAGAATTGCAGTCAGGATTTTTTTTGTCCATTACAGCAATTTAGATTTGGAAGGAACATGTGCTTAACTGTGAAGACAATATTTTTTTCTTGTTGATTTTAGAGTGAAATATGAATACAAAGAGTGTATAAAATCCTTGACAAAAAAAAATTACAATAAATAATAAATAACTACAAAATATTTAAATAATAGATATTAATTTGATTTAAAAAGTTTAAGTTAAATAATATTTAAAAAATAATTTTAATTATTAAACATTAAAAAAGGAAACACACCTGCTGAATGTCTCCTTCTGTAAAGGGGAGTTTTGTGGAAACGTGAAACATGATTTCTCTCTGACGGAACGTGGTATAGACAGACTCAGATCCAGTCTGCCCATGAGACACATCCAGACCGCCTCTGAACCTGAGCAGCACAATATCACACACACCAGTCAAATTAGCTCTGCAGAAGTGCTGCTTAGGCAGATCAATCTGATTACCGTGAGCAGACTTCCAGTCAAAATCACACAATGAGTAAATGAAATAAATTATTCACAAATGCACTCTTTGAATATTGTTTAATATTAAAACAAGCCTTTTATGAGTGCGCAGGTGAACCTTGGCAGCAGTTTTCAAAGCTTAATCTCCATCTCTCACCCTTTAAAATCCTGCAGTTCAATATTGTCTCCTAAAACACTGAGGAATTCAATAAAGGCTGGCGTCTCCTCATTGTTCCCGAACAGCCTTTCCTCTGTCGTCTGATGTGAAGAGACAATCCCAGTGGGAAAAAGAGAGAGTACTTCAGTGAAAGTATGTACAATGAGGACAACAGCTCAAGACTGACTCTCACCTGACCAAACTTCTGATAGATGACTCCAAACTTGAAAGTGTTGTTCACTTCGTGCTCATCAAAACTGACGATCATTTGTGAGGCCTTGGGGGAGAGAAAACAGAAAGTGAGCGAAAGCGCCCGCAGGGGTAAATATGTGTGTCAGTGCCTTTCCATAATTCAGGCGTTTGTGTTTGCCATGCCTGACAGACCATGCAAAGCCTTGAGATGGTCAAGGCTCCTCTCAAACACACTATGTGGCTCAGGCATGCCAGGCAGTGTAAAGCAGATGGATTTGTGACTCCCCCGGAGCATGGGAACATATTAATTCAGATGACTTGGGTACTAGGGTGAAACGGAGCAAAGCCCAGCCCTAATTTCACCCTGATGCCTGGAGTAGGTAAGTCACAGATGGAGTGAGAAACACAGAAATGCTCACCCTAGGGTAGAGGACGGGGTTGAACTTCAGACCGGTGACATCATCGCAGAGCAGCTGAAACATATAGGACATATCTGATGTGAACATCTCGCATCCTTTGAGTGGATTGAGGGAAGTTCAAAAGAGGTCTGCTAAGTACTTGAAGTCTTGAGAGACTTTGTGAGAGAGACTTTTTTTGAGAATTTGAGTCCTCATACACTTTAAAAGTTTGACTGCAGACCTACATAATGTGATT